CGTTTATTTCATTATTAATTTATTTATTTTCTTTTATTTGTCCATTTATTTACTTTTTTTCGTCCGTGTTCTCTTTGAGGGAGAAAACTATGTACAATTCTACTTAAAATCATGATGCATTTTTCACTTGATATTTTCTTGAAACTCCATCTTAAGAGGTAAAATTAACGAAACAGAAGGGGAAGAAAGAGCAGAAGAGAAAAGAAGTAAAGAGAAGAACAAGAAAAATAAGAAAATCAAAACAAAACAGGATACACGATAAATAATTTTCAGGGCAGACTAAGTTTCATCTTCTGGTTGATGACATCACAAGAGAACATCACTTACGAGTATCCTCCCAACACAAGACAGTTTTTAACACCGTCTAACGTACACAGTAAAAAAAGGTATCGTCCAGGGGAGGGGGGGTGTGCTGACTTCCGTAATGATCCATACATCACCACCATAACACAGGACCAACACCATATTCCACTATCCCTCGTCCGTGTGTCATATTGTTTCTCACATAATCCGTGCGGTACTTTTTTTTACTGTGTGTACATTATTAATTACTGAAAATAAATTTTCAGGAAACAGAACTCATCTGCCCAGCTGTCGTGTATGTTTATTTACAATACTGTGACAGAAGACGCATCAGCAACCGTAACACTCGCGACCCGTCCACGACCGTGAAGCAACTTGACAGACACTGGTCCTACTAAATTCCCGATGATGTTTATGTTGTAAAAGTGGCAAACAGATAGATTGGGTTAAATAGGTATACAGAAGGTTCGTTTCTTTAAGATATAATGACAACACGAGAATATATCGACACGTTTTCCCCACACCAAACTCAAGATCAAGGAGCACCAAGAGAGTTAAAACCCTCCCGAAGGAAGTGATTCAGGTGAACAGGGTCATCCTCTTCCCCCTCCTCCTTGTGATGTCAAAGACACAGTGGGACATGCGATTAACAGTCATCTTGAGTGGGTGGGTAAAAGGATTCTCTACATCTGACTCTGTTTTTGTTTTAATGGTCATTGGAGATGACTACTTGATCAGCTTCATCGGGAGTCTCTGGTACAGTCGGGTGGGAACAGTTCAGTACTCAGATCCTAAAAAGATTTACACTTTTGAGGCCAAAATTCCCAGCAATATCTGGCAGCTATTGTGGGTCATTTGTGTGGGTGATTAGCAGCCGGTGAAAGTTGCCTTTAACTTATGACTTATGTCAGGATAACAACATATAAAACTGATAGTGAAAAATAAATCGAAGTAAATAGATATTAATATCTCAATCTCCACTACCTACATGAGCCTTAAGTTAACGAGTCCATGCATTACCAACAGTGTTCAGGGAGTTTAGGTCTTAGCTGTACACACGCAGAAATTATTTTGTATAATTCCACGCAATATTATTAAATTGTAAATAAACTTCGTAGCAACTTGCCCCGTGGAGTCCTAAAGCACCTTCGGATATTCGGATGGTGAGCTTTTGTGTAAATTCACTGTGGAATAGACATGTTGTCAGGGGTAGGTCATGGATTTCTTTTAATAATTCGTGTAATCCACGAATCACTTGTATAAAGAATAAATAGTAGACCTGGTTTATTACTATTATAAATAATTAGTGTGATGAACGCAGGTGGCCATCAGATGATTTCACCGGGTTGGGACGAGTTATTTTTCTCGTAAATTACCTTAATCCTGGTGAATTAGTTTATATAAATTAACTAATATGATATATTATTTTGTGCAAAACTGAAGTTGTCAAAGTAAAGTATAAACTTAATAATTTGAGTGACAACGTGTCAAATAACGTTACTTTTGACGGGATTTACGACAGAGAGAGCTGTTGCTCCTCGAGTTAACCAAAACTGCTTATATAAGTTACCACCTCGAGCACACGTCCGACACGATCAGCAATGTAGCTTTACTTTCACGTTTAACTAAGCTGAAGGTCAACGTAACTACTCTTAACACTGGCTGAATCCTGCAGACAACTTCACTAAAAATTCATAACCCCAGCTCGCGAAAAAGCAAAATATCTGATGGGTGTATGAAATTTGTATCAAAACACCGTTTCTTGCCATATTTGGGTTATCTTAGAACTCCTCAGCGTACTGTTCTATTATAGCCATTGTCTTGAGTCATAGGTAGAGCGAGTCACTGACCAAGGTTCTCACACGCTTTTCGGCTCAAGCGAAACCAAAAAAAATAACGCACAAATCTTTTAAGAATTTGGGAGACGGATCACACAGGTGTCTCAAGGGCGTGGTAGAAGTTTACGTTTAATCCTTCTTAGCTTACTAGACGCTCACACGCCTTCCTGGACTACAACACCTCCCAGATTCACTTAAAATGGTGGTGTGTCGGTCGCCCGTCCAGGTGCTACTGTTAGTTAGTTAAAGAATGCAAGGACGTCTTCATTATGCTACTTAATGATATTATTACGCATTTTTAAGTCATCAAAGTATGTCATTTGTGGAGAGGACGAAAAGACGTTTTCTTGTACAATAAAAAAGCTAACTCATATTTGTTTATTTACGCAACATCAACCTACAAAACATATTGGCTCAGGTGGATTTAAGCGATATTATCTAAAGAAACACAATGTTCCTGAATCGTTTTAGATTCTTTCAAGGTTAGAGTTTTATCACGTAATAAAGACTGCTGCCGAAATACGTTTAACATTGTTGACGACAAAGGACTTGTTGTTATGTAGCAAGAACTTATTCGATAGCTTTTAAGTGAAGTTCACGACCTAAATACATTAGTCCCTCCCATCTACACCCAACAAAGCACAAGAATCATCATTTCTTTGCGTTATCTACTGTCTTCTTCTAAGTTTTCGAATCTCCTAAACTGTCTTTTTAGAGAGGAGATCTTGAGAGGTCACTTACAGTTCGTGTGTCACTGTGTCATCGCTTGCAAGAACGGCGACTGTCATCTCAATTTGTATAAACTCCTTTATCAGGGGGAATTAAGCTTCCTGAGTACAATGTCACCTTACTCAGGGATCAGTTCAATAAACTCGAAGTAAGTCGTTATGCTTAAAGGGGTTATATTTTAATCAATTGGCTAATTTATTGTACTGGGGATGTTGACATCGTACTCAAGTGGTTTAAAAGGCATTCCTCTACCACCTTTTTCTTTCATCAGAAGTCTGGGGCTAAGCGTAACTTACTCAGGTCGCGCGACCTTTTCTGTCACAGTATCATAATATACATTTCAAAAGTAGCCGTTCACCAGCTATCAACTAATTGCATTTAATTATGACCCAGAAGTAGAAGCTACATACTGTCAAGTGTCGAAGGAACTTTGTCGGCAACTATACATCGCCGATAAAACTAGAATAAAACGGAAAACGAAGACTCGAAAGACTTCAAATCACTGAGTTTAACAAGTTAGAAGGTTGGGAAAAAGAAACTGAGTAAATTTTAGAATATTGGAATTTTAAAATATTTGAATACTTTTATCTCTAAACACCCGAATCACTTCAAATTTGAAATTATTTATCTATGAAGTTTTGAATCTTTGAATATTTGTATTTTTGTCTATTGAAATCTTTGTAGTTATGAATCTTTAAATCTTTGAAGATTTGAATCATTAAATCTTTGAAGCCTTGAATTGTGGAATATTTGAAACTTGAAATCTTATACAAAAAAATAATTAAAGAAGTCAATTAGATTTATAAACCTAGTGTGAACTCCAGTCTGAGAAGCAGTATACGGATCGAACCACTTACCTGAACAACTGACATTTTCGAAAAAAATTCAAAAGACTTTCGAAACGATTTGCTACGAATAAACCAAACTTCTGAATATATCAAATGCTTACTCTTTTTTCTGACCACTGTCGGGTTCAAGACTCTGAACACCACAGGGGTCGAGGCACTTGGCTTGGTAGAGAGAGCACCGAGCCAAATGCTTGATCAATTATCAAGTTAAAGCTGTTGATGGCACTTTGAACAACTTCTACTTGCTGATATGGGAAGGATGATGCACTTGGCTACTTACCCAGACCGAAAACTTTCATATTTACAAACATTTGTCTCTCTTGTAGTTAAAATAGACGAAAGTATTGACAAAATTATCAATTTTCTTACTGGGTACATTTATCTCTTGACACTGTCCATGGGTAGTGCCTTACGGCAGTGCTAATTTTAAACCTTTTCCAACAATACTTTTCTACTTTCCGGAGAGCACTGGGCTGCACAATCTCCGTCAGATGTACTTACCAAGGTCGTGACGTCCGACTATCTTACCCCCAGAACTGACTAGTGATCAGAATTATTTAATTACACTACTACAACTACCACTACTACAACCATTACTACAACCACTATGCTACCACTACTTCAACCACTACCACTACTATAACCACTTACAAAGAGCTATACGACTTCGGGTCCTAATATTCCTTAACCACTTGACACTTGAATTGATGATGGATTAAAATCATTTACAACTACTACTAAAACCAACACCAGTCACTTAATGCATCATCAACATCACCAAACATCACCATGCATCACCAACATCACCAATGTCACCAACATGGACACCACCACCACCTCAAGTACAATTTCGCGGGTTCGAAGTCTTCTATGACTCATCACCTGAACTGTATAGGTTGTTCACTTCACTTTCTGTACAGCTCAGCCACGATTACAATGGACGATTCTTTATCATCTCATGGAAAGGGATGATCAAGAGGTGTGACCACAAACTATACTTAAGGAGCTGGGGACTTGGATGTAGTAGCTACTTGAGACTTATGGCTCATCACAATTACCCCTAAGAAGTATTGTTGAAGCCATGAAGGAACACTTATGTACTTATCTACTTTCAGGATGAAACTAAACCACTACATCCCTCACTACAGCTTTTACTTACATAGATATTGAGACTTCACTAACTGGAGGCTCAATTAGTCACGTAGAACTACAAGGATGAGTCACTTATACAATAATGAAAGGACACAACACCAACCACGCCCACCTCCTTCCTCGTACTTACCGAGATCGCGGGCTGACAACACTGTGAGGGGTAACTAACATAAAAAGGGGACAGACACAGAAGCTGAGCGCCGGCGGCACTGAAAGAGTGGGCACGGTAAGACACACACACCAGGAGGGTACACGTGCCCACACTCACTCAGCGGCACCGGGACTGAGGGCCACGGGAGCCACGACGGTGGATCAGTGCCACGAAACTGAGGAGAGGGTGAGGGAGGAGAGGGGGATAGGAAAGGGAGAGAGAGCACTCTCCTCCCTCCCCCCACCACCAGCAGGAGGGCAGAAGGTGGCGACTAGAGCACCGCCGCAGCACATGGTCTACCTTGACTATATTTATCTTCGCCACAACTGCTGCTGCTGCTGCTGCTGCTGCTGCTGCTGCTGCTGCCTCGCGCGCGCGCGCGTGTGTGTGTGTGTGTGTGTGTGTGGACTTCGTTGAGGAGTTAATATACGCATACCTGCCCAATATTCCCAATAATTTCACCTGTTATCTGTTGTTAATCCCGAGACAGGTAAAAACATATAAAGGATTGAATCCTTTATAGTAACAGTTAATTAAAAGCTAAGCATATCAGTACAGCAATATTATCATGAAAATTACAACAACAACAACTAAAGAAATGAGGGCAAACTGAAGCAACCTGTCTGTCTGTCTGTCAGTGCAGCGACTGAGAAACAAAAGCTGTAGGAAATAACAGTAGTAATAACTATATTATCAACAGCCTCAGAAACAACAAAAACAAGAGAGAGAGAGAGAGAGAGAGAGAGAGACTCATAAATAAATCAAATCTACTATTGTTTTTATTGTTGTACTTTCAGATGGTTCAGCTGTGAGACCCATCACAGCTGAGTGCACCAGCCCAGCCAGCTTCCCCACTAGAAAACAATTCATGAAAATTAAGACCAGTAATCTCTATTATTCTATTGGTTTCTTAAAAAACTACAACTGTGGTTTATTTACCTTTTAAGGTAACCTTAAGGAGGCCTTAATTTTCCCTATCGTTGTAAGTTCTATGAGTAGACTGACAGATGTTGCAAGTGTAGAAAGTCTCTTATCAGCCTGGAACACGAAAATAATTGCAATACAGAAAAGAACCATTGAGAAATAAGTCTCTCATCATCCCGGGTAAAAAGCTGTAATGCTGAAGATAAATATTGAGGAAAAAAACAATAATTTCGTTGTTTTGTAATTTGAAAAAATAAACAACAACAATCGTTGCAGCATCAACAGGCAGACTGAGGAAGCGGAAGAGGAGTCGAACAACTATCATGACGACTGCCAAGGTTGCTGCAACATTGCAGCAACCTTGCAATAACCAATAACCTTATGGCTTGTATGTTTCCCTGATGATGATAGGTGGTGGAATTTTTCGTCGGCTTAAATTTGTGGTGAGAAATTATTACCATCAAGGGGAAGAGTTGATGGTTGAGGCGATGAGTTTTATTATGGTGGTTTAAAATGTTCTGGAAATGTATTTTACCGTTAGATTTCTGGCCCTTTGACGCTATTTATTTTTTCTCGGAACGCCTGTATAAGTGAATTAAATTTAGAAAGATTCTAAAAAATAAAAAAGAGGTTGTAGTCTGGCCAAAAAGGAATCCTTGGCACTAAGAAAATTGATGTACAGTACTGTGGTTAGGGTCGCCGTAGAAGTGATTTTAGTGGTGATCACGAAACTACAACCCAACAAATTGAAAAATTATTTTACACACCACAATAATGTTTAATAGTCACATAGAAGCACCCAGAAGCATATAGGAACACTTATAAACATACAAATACACTGAAAAGCTCTGGGAAACATATGTTGCACTTGACTGCACTTTGTTCCCACTTTTCACTCTTTTTATTTTACCATTTTATTTATTCACAACACAATTCGGACTCCTGCGCACAACAACAACTATTATTTTCACCAGTAAGCTAAATCATAACTATATTTACCACTTCATATGGTTCAAATAGGCCGCCAAAATGGGCGGGAAGGTAGCACGCGCGAAAAACATGGGTAGGGGTAGTCTCAGCATGCGTTGCCACACCTGACATTTTTTTCGAAAAGTTTTACCATCCTGGTGCACGACAGCCTCAGCGTGTCTGAGGACTATATTTCCGCCCAAACATAGTGGTCCCATTCAAAAAATACCGCGAAACTTAGAGCCGCCCAGGCGACCTAGGCAGTTTGTGGAGCAACCGCCCAGGCGGCCTGGAGCAGCCAAAGGGCTTGAGGCACATTTTGCACGGCTATATTTTCTTGAGATTTATGATTTAGATTTTTATGTAGAGTTTATTGTAAGAAGATATCATAATTATACAACGGTAGCTTGCAAAATGAAACATCTGCCTTATTTTCTGGAAACTGAAGGACTTTGTTTGAAGATAATAATTCCTATGACTGATTCCTTTATCAAAACCAAGACAAAAACAAAACAAGGGGGGCCAAAAACTGAATATCGGTAGTGCTAATCCACAACCAGAAAAAATCCATCACTCGCTAGGAAACCATCAACATCAGTCAGGTCGAGAAACACAAACTGGACTGTTTAAATGCATCAAGAATTTTATAGTTACATGTTTGTTATATGAGAGAGATGAATGATTCCTGTTGTAGTAATATTCCGACAACATGGCACGGACACCACACTAAAATCTCGGCTCCTCTTGAAATGGGAGTGGAGAGGAGGCGGGACTTAATGATATAACAAGACGAAGCAGCACTGGGTGGACTTGGGAAACAACCCGTCAGAAGTAATGAATTGATGTTCCTTTGTTATGTAGTGGACAAAGACGAACAAGGTGACACATTTTCCTTGTCGTGTGAAGTGTGAATATTTCTCTTTGTGTTAACTATCTTGTTACGTCTTAGTGTTACAAAAAACAAAAACAAGTGAGTAACAAAAACAATAAAAGACAAACCAAAGAATGTAGGAGAAGTGACACGTTTGTCCTGTCCTGTGGAGAATCTATTAGCCTTTGGCATTAGCGCGCGCGCGAGAGAGAGAGAGAGAGAGAGAGAGAGAGAGAGAGAGAGAGAGAGAGAGAGAGTAAACAAGTAGGAAGAAATAAGTACCCAGGTTACTCTCTTCTGGGACATGTAATATCGTATTCAGAGGCGTGATTCAGCCAACTCGCACCTGAGTGTAGTCGTCGACAACTTTCACCAAGTGTGTTAATTATAACCAGTCAGGTGAGGGGAGAGTCCACCACTACTCCCGCCCCCTCTCACACAACACCAACCCTCTCCCCTCACAGTCTAAATGGGCCCCAAATGAAATTGGTTAGGTTAGGTTAGAGGGATGTAGTAAGGTTAGGGCTAATTAGGATTGAAACTTATTTGATCTGCAATTCTTTTTTTATTCAGGAATAATGAATTTTTTCCTTAACATACATAGAAAAGAAGAACAAGAAGAGAATAAAGACAGGGAAGAAAGAAAGAAAAAAGAGAGAACTGAAAGACAAAAATAAGAGAGAAAAGAAGGAAGGGAGAAAGCAAAAAATAGAAATAAAGAAAGAAAGAAAGAAAGAAAGAAAGAAAGAAAGAAAGAAAGGCAAAGAAATAGCTACTCAACGAACACAACTTGTCTTTCTCCCCCCACTTAATTTGATAAAGAATTTCATTAAATGTTTCCACTAACTAGAGTTGTCACAAGGCACCTGAGTGTAAAGTGGTGTGTCAACAGACTAAGACTTGAAGAAATAACACAAAGGTTTTTACATTATATATTGAACCGAGTTTAGATTTCTTTATTTTCTGTCATCATTTTGTATCTTTCTATATCCTCCAGTAATAGAGATTGACACAACATGAATAAGAAAAAGAAGAATAGGAAGGAAAACACTGAATTCCTGCAGTCATTTCCTGGTCCACCACATCGCCTGCAGTTGATTGAGGGACGTGTATCGAGGCAGTTACTAAGCTGACTTATGTTAAGGCGGAGGACCTACCCGAGGACAATTGCCTGATATAATCATATACCTACCATTCAGAGGCACTGTGCAGCACGCAGGTGCGAGTGTGGAGTTACTTCGTCAGGTGGTTCCTCGTGTTAGTACCGTGTAAAAAGAAGTCTGCTGCAAGCGAAAGAAAAGCGAACGTTCGTTTGGCGTAACTTCCATGTGCGTGATATTGCTTAATACGAGGGCAGGTGGACACTGATCTGATAGAGATACCATAAGTGTGTCATTGTAGGGCGGAGTGGAACGCCAGGCGCTGTTGATTGCTCATGCCGGTTATATTCTATTGGTGCGCTAAGCACGCACGCACGCTCGCATGTCTCTGGACAGTTTGAGGTCAGTTAAGACATGCTTTTAGCTATGCATACACTTATTTAATGCTTGTTAATAATAATAATGGAAGCCCCTTGAAATCGAGGATGGCCGGCTCAAGGGCCTCCAGGCGTGAATTTCTTAAGGTGTAGAAGCTGTCGCCAACACAACAACCACACCCTAAGTTAACGAGCTGCATAACCCAGTGTCACGTAATAGTACGAGAAGACTGGACAGCTCGCCAACTGCACTGGCTAACCATTACCCCGGAATAAGATCCACAAATCGATTAACATTCAGGTTCCCAATCACTGTTGGGTAGACAGAGGGAAATGACGTAAAGAAATTTGCCCATAGTTTCACCCTGCCCGAGGATGGAGCTCGGGTCCGCTCGCTTGCGAAGCTGACCATTTCACCACATGTTAGTTATAGGTTACAGCAAATACAAATTCAGATAACAAAACATTGTTCACTGTAAGACGTTTTTCTTCAACATTAAGACACTGAGTTAACGTCTATTATTGCTACCGTAAAAAAAAAAAAAAAAAAATAACAGACACCTCACAGACCCAACAATTAAGATGTATTACAAAAAATAGGTCAGTGAGGCCAGGTGCTGCCCATTGATGACACACTGAGTTAACGTCTATTATTGTTAACACAAAACACAGACTACTCACACACCCAGCATTTAACTATTCTTACAATCAAAGAGAGTTAGTTTTGGCGGCATTATCGTCACAGTGGGGCCAGGAGCTGCCCACTGATGAAACACCACAACTGAAAATAAATCCCGCCACTTGGTCTGGTCTGCCGTCCACAGCTGACTAGTCGAGACATAATCACCCATGTCTTGAGGACCTGTACTACACTTGGGAGTTGTGATTGTTTGTACGTCCCCTGTCCACTTGTTAC